AAATAAACATAAACGTTTTTAATTCAATTTAAATAAAATATTTAACTTTAAGTTCATGATTATAATTTTTTTTTTTTATATATATTTTTAAAACTAAAGGTTTCTAAACCTTTATTAAGTTTTCAATGGCTAAGAATGTTTGACTTTTCTCTGAGTCTCAGTTACGGTGCATATAAAGTTTATACATTTAAGAGTTTAAAACAATTCAAAATCTAGAAAAAAGATTAAAGTAATAAGTCCCAGTAACGGTGGTTTAAAAAAAAAGCGCGCAATACGTGACAAAATGAACATAAACGTTTTTAATTCAACTTAAATAAAATATTTAACTTTAAAGTACATGATTAGAATTTTTTATATATATATATTTTTGAAACTAAAGGTTTCGAAACCTTTATTAAGTTTTTAATGGCTTAGAATGTTTGACTTTTCTCTGAGTCTCAGTTACGGTGCATCTAAAGTTTATACATTTAAGAGTTTAAAACAAATCAAAATCTAGAAAAAAGATTAAAGTAATAAGTCTCAGTAACGGTGGTTTAAATAAAGCGTGTAATAGGTGACGAATAAGCATAAAAGTTTTTAATTCAATTTAAATTAAGTATTGAACTTTTAATATATGGTTAGAATATTCATTTGATATGTATTTTTGAAACTAAAGGTTTCTCAACCGTTATAAAGTTTACTATATTACTGACGTTATTATTGAGTTTTAGTTATTAAGTTTACAATGTTGAGGTTTCTCAACCGTTATTAAGTTTACGTAAACGAAATCTAGAAAAAAGATAAATGTAATAGGCCTCAGTAAAGGTGCTTAAAAAAAGAAGCATGTAATTTCTGACAAATAAGCAAAATCATTCTTAGTTCAATTTAAATTAAATATTTAACTTTTAATACATGGTTAAATTATTTATTTTTATACTTTTTTGAAAATAAAGGTTTCTAAATCGTTTCTAAGTTTACAACGGCTGAGAAAGCCTGACTTCTCTCAGAGTCTTAATTACGGTGCATCAAAAAATTATACATTAGAGAGATTGAAATAAAACAAAATTTAAATAAAAGATCAAGTTAACAAATCTCAGTTACGGTGCTTAAAAAAGAAGCATGTAATAACTGACAAATAAACATAATCGTTTTTAGTTCAATTTAAATAAAATATCGAGTTTTTAATAAAATTATTATGTTTATTATATATATATTTTTTTTTAAAAAAAAGGAGTCTTAACCATTATAAGGTATACAATGGGAAAGGGGAGGAAGGTTAATTTTTTGTTTGTTTGTTTGTTTTAATTAATTATTCTTTAGAAATTTTTTTTTAAGAATATTTAAAAGCAACTCAGTTTTTGTAATTCTTGGTGGTTGGCGTTGTACTTCTGTTTCTAACATTTTTAAGATAACAAAAACTTTAAGATTTAAAAAAATATATATTTATGTAGAATTCTTTGCGTGTAAAGTTCCGTTTACTTAACTTATCTGTATAATACTTTACAGGTAATTTTGCAAACTAAATTAAGATTCCAATTAAAATGTAGCAAGAAGCAACAGATTAGTTTTAATAAACTTCTTCAGAAGCTCCCACACTCTTGCGGAAAGTGTGGAGTTTTCCTCCACACCTTTGTGTAGCTATCACTCCTAGACACAAGTGTGAAGTTATTTTGCACACTTTTGTAGAAATTACCTTTTTCTAAATCAACCTCTGCATAGAAGTGTGGAGTTATTTGCACAAAATTGTGCAAAGTAATTCTACACTTGTGTCTAGGAGCGATAGCTACACATTGGTATAGAGGAGAACTCCACACTTTCCGCGAGTGTGCAGTAGTTGACAAGTTTTATCATACAAAGTTTCCTTTACCAGCGTAGTTATCTTTAATAAAGTCAACAATAAGTTATCTTTTTAAAATAAAAAAATTATATACGATTAATGCTCAGCAATTCATAAATTTGCATCAAAGAACTTAAATGCTTGTATTATTCATACAAATATAGTTTTGAAAAAAATATATATTTCTATACTTTTTCAACAGAAAAAAAGTAAGTAATATGGGTTTGAAGATTCAGAATTTTATTCTTAGCTTGTTACAAGGAAGTTTTACTTGAGAATGAGATGTCAATAAATTTATAGAAAAATAAAAAGATCTGTTAAACTCCGAAAACGATTGAAGAATGAGATATTCATTATAAGGATACAAGTAGATCATTGCCTCAAAGATTCACTCCATTTAAAACCATAATTGTTGAATAAAATACAAAAGTTTTAAAAACTTTTTAATAAGACTAATTTTATAAAAATTTTATTTTTTCAAAAATGTTTCGATAAGATAATAAAACATTATTAGAAAAAAGTTTAAGTATGAATACAAAATTATATGAATTAATAGTTTAATTTATAAAAAGAAAAATTTGCCTTTTGTTTGAAAATCTAAAAAATCTATAACTAAACTAAAGCACATGACGGAGGTTTGTTGATTAATATTTCTATTTAATTCGTTTAGTAAGATAATTTTTTTTTTTTAAATTCATTTAAATGATTTTCCCTTACAAACTTTTTCTTCAAGACTTATTTTAAAAATATCTCTTTGTTTTTTTGCGTTCCAGTACTCTACAGGACATACGTCACGGGTTTTGAAGTGGAAGGGCACAATCGTCAATTTCTAAAAAAGTCGTCTAAAAAAAAAAAAAAAAAAAAAAAAAGATCTTTGGTGGGAGGTCCTGTGCTCCCTTTCCTCTTTCTCCCGGTGTCGTCAGCCCTGCTCTATAATAGATCTTTTTTTTAATTTTTTTTTTAAATTTTATTTTATTTTGCTGTTTATATAAATTACAATTTCCTTTCACCAAAAATAAAATATACAAATGTACAAGTAATAAACAGTCAGGGGCTCAAAGAAGGTATGGATGGCAAAATACCAACCTAATCTTTTCATAGAGCCCCTACAGATCATAACAATAGTATATGGTAATATATGGTTAATAAATCAAGTAGAAAATTTAGGAAAAAAAAAAAAGAAATAGTAAAAAAGAAGATATAATGTTTAAGAATAAAAATAGAGAAAAAATCTCTATTGCACATTTTTGTTCAATTTCGTGTTGAATTAACTTTAGTACCTTTCTCGGCGCTTTCATCAATAATTTTTACTAGTAGATGGTTTAAAAGTATTATTTTTGCATAAATATTCTGTTGTTCCAAGTTAGTTATTATTCAGAGTATGCCACGTGCAGTATTAAAAAGGTGCAATATAGAATTAATGTAAGTAAATTTAATTATTAGTTATTAAAAAACAGAATGTTATTGTTTAAAATATGGTTCGAATCTTAGTTGGAATACTTTTATATTATCAAATGATTTTAATATTTAATTGAATATTTCTATTTTCCAAATTATAAATTTCTTGGTTCAAAAAATATTAATTTAATATGAGTCTCAGTTTCGGTGCATCAAAAAAAAAAAAAAATTTAAGAGATTAAAACAAAACAAAATCTAGAAGAAGTTAATACGTCTCAGTAACAGTGATTAAAAAAAAAATCAAGTGTTTTCTGACAAATAAACATAAACGTATTTTATTTACTTTAAATTAAATATTAAATTTTTAATACATTATTGAACTTTATATTTTTAGTTATTACTTGAAAATAAACGAGTCTCGACCGTAATCAAGTTTACAATAGGTTATAATATTTGAGTTTTCCTTTAGGGAATCGTCCATAAATTACGTCAGGCATTTTTTGACAGATTTTGACCTCCCCCCTCCCCCTCGTCACAAAATCGTAACACTTAAGAAGCAAGTTTTGTATGAGTCGTCACAAAACTACCAACCCCCCTCCCCTTATAGTGTGACGTAATTTATGGACGACCCCTAGTCTCAGTAATGGTGCAATGAAAAAAAAAAAAGAAGAAAAAGTTTGCCTCATTTCTGAATATATGAAAAAATATATCTAAAATGCATGACGGAGGTTTTTATATTTTTATTAGTTTTTAATTAGTAGTAGTAAGTTTTAAAAAAATGAAAATAATAAAGTTTGTTTAAATCATTTTCACGAAGTTTTTCTTCAAAACTAAGTTTCAAAATGTATCTGCATTTTTGCGTTCGAGCACTCAATTGAACTTTTTAAAATTTGGGTTCTTGTATTTTACCCGGCTCATTTTACCGGCACATGGTTTCGAATCTTTATCTGTATAAATTTGGCGATTACAAATGCATGTTTTCGAGTGAGCCGCGTGTAGTGCCGTAAAAGGTGCAATGTAGAATTAATGTAAGTAAATTCTTTCTTAACGCATAAAAAATATTATCGTTTAAACAATTTAACATATGTTCTTTTAATATTTTTCTTGAAAGTGAAGGAGTCTTGAACATTATTAACTTTACAATTGCTTACAAAGTATGATTTCCAAACGCCCTAAGTCTCAGTAACGGTGCATCAAAAAGTTATTTTTAAGAGATTAAATTTTAATCTTGAAAAAGAATTAAATTTATAAGTCTCAGTAACGGTGTTTAAAAAAAGATAAAAAAATGTTGTGTCGTTTCAGAATGTGTCACGTGCAGTACCGATAAAGGTACAAATAAAAATTAAAGTTAGTAAACTTGATTAAAAATAATTTATAAAATGTATGTTATCGTTTTAACAGTGGAACATTTGTTTATATATTTTTACTGGAAGTAAAAGAGTTTCGGCATTTATTAAGTTTATAATGGCTTAAAAACTATAATTTACCTATTGCTCCGAGTCTCAGTTTTGGTGCATCAAAAATTATTTTTTGTGAGAGACTCTCTTTTAATCTTTTTATACCATTTTCAAGTTTACACTGGCTTAAAGTGTATGATTTTCTTAAAGTCTCAGTTAAGGTGCATTAATTTTTTATTTTTTTTAATTAGATTAAGTCAAAACAAGTTTTAGAAAAAATTTCAGTAATGATGTTTATATACCTATTTCATTAAAATTAAATGTATTATTTAAAACTAATTAAATATGTTTATTTGTAAGGAAATACATTCATCTTTTTTTAAACACATAAGATCCTGGTTAGATTTTGTTTTGTTCTAATCTCTTTTTAAAAAATATTTTTTTTATGGTGCACTGTAACTGAGACTCCGGCTAAATCGTACATTCTGAGCAATTTTAAACTAAATACCATTCAAGGCTCCTTTTATTTTAGGCAATTATAAATTCTAATTTTATTAAATATAATGATAGAAATTATAAATATAGAGAATTATAAATAATGATAAATAATGTAAAAAATGGTAATGATAGTAATTTAATGAATCATAAATATTATATATGTATTAATAATAATATTTTAATGAATTATAAATATTATAATGAATTATAAGAATAAATACAAAATTATATTAATTACAAGATATTTTTAAGCATTAAGCTATTAACAAAGAAGAAATTAGTCAGCTAATTGAAAGCAAAATACACAGTTCTGATGATGAAGTTTTATCTGACAATAACAATGGTAATAGTTTTTGTATTTAAATTTATAAGTTTTTAGGATTTAGTATTTTTTATAAAGTTTATAGCTGTTGTTATAGTTATCGAATCCAGACACAAACATGGGCATAAAAAACACTACTGTCTATATTGTAAAAAACTTCTCTCAAAAATCCCAAGGCATTTAGAACATATTCATAAGCATAAAGAACTTGTTATAGAAGCCCTTCATTATCCAAAAAAAAGTAAAGAGCGAAGAAATATGTGGACTTATATAGAGAGGAAAAGGTGATTTTAATGTAAATATAAATAACATTAAAAATTCTAAAAAAATAACATCTGTAAGAAAATGTACAGTCAACAAAGATGATGAGCTATTGCCTTGTGAATATTGTTATGGTTTTTTCAGAGCAAGGAAACGTTGTGAACATGTTTCTAAGTGTTTTTTGCGTGGTAGTGATAACAAGGAAATAAGTTATATAAAAGCTTCTCGAATATTAGTAGGCCAATCCAGTTTGACCGACAATGCTAAAATTGTACATGAGTATATACTTACAACTATGAAACATGATAAACTTCACCTTGTTATTCGCAATGATAAGTTATTATTGACCTATGGAGCAGTTGAAGTTGGTAAAAAAGAAAGAGATCGTTACCATGATGTAGGCTATGCACTTCGAGTTTTAGCTAAGTTATTGTTGCAATACAGAAAACAGTTTAATGCAGAAGATGCATCTGCCAAAGATTTAGTCAATGCGATAAGCTATGATAACATTATTTCTTCTATGAAAGTTTGTGCCGATTATTGTGGACCAAGAAAAATTGGAAATCCTCGTCTTGTTTTAAGAATAGGATATTCATTAAAAACTTTAGCTATAATAGTCAAGTTAGAGTACCTGAAATTAGGATTGGGCTATGGTAGAAAAAAGCAGGTGGAAACGCTAAACTGACATAGAAGCTTTAGATGATCCAATAGAAAAAAAGCTTGCAGAACGATTTAAACTACTATACATTGAAGGCAAAAAAAACAACGGAGATGTATGGAATTTTGTTTTTTATTCACTTATTAAAAATTTAATGACATCTTATTTTATATATTTTTCTGTTCAGATATTGAGAAATTTTTGTATTCAGAAATAAAATTTTAAATGCTTTTTTCATGCTGTATATGTTATTAAATTAGGTTCTTCTGTAAAAGCATTAGTTCCAATTATTTTTACTGAGGAAGTTGTTGGTGCAATCCGACTATTAATCAACTCAAGGCATTATGCTAATATTTCTCCAAAAAATAATTATGTGTTTGCCCGTGGTTGGGACGCGCTGCAATCTTTAACAAAAAAGCTTAATTTATCGAAGCCAAAGCTTATTACACCAACTAGAAAGTATTTGTCAACCATTCTGCAGTTGTTAGACATGAATAATGCTGAGCTTTTGTGGCTCACAAATCACATGAGGCATACTAAAGATGTTCATCAAAATTGGTATCGACGTGAGGATTCTACTATTGAATTAACAAAAGTAACAAAAGTTCTTCTTGCTATGGATAATGACGATACAAGGTGCATTCAAAATAAGAAAATCGATTCACTATTACAAAATAGTTTTGAAGGAATTGGTTTGTTTTTTTTTTACTTAATAACTTTTTTTATTTTTTATTTGACTTTTTTTCTGCATATAAATATTGGTTAACTGTCATAAAAAATTTTATGACATTAGGTCATAATATTTTTTATGACCTAATTAACAGTTCTCAATATATACTCACCTTAACTCATAATTATGAGTTAAGGTGAGTATATATTGAGATCATTTGCAAAACGCCTTAAGTTTGAGTTAACTCATTTTAAGAATGAAATGAAAAACTACCCTTAGCATCAATAGAAACTGATATTTTCTTTTTCCAGTTTTAAGTCAAAAAGTTTTTGTTTTTTTTCAGTCCAATATTTAGATTTTCAAATTTCAGTAGAATGTGGAAATGGAATTAACTTAAAATTTTTGTGACTTTTTACAGTTTTTTGTGAACTTTTGTGCAGATAGGCACCTCATGTTTTGTCTTATATATCCCGTTTTGTAAAATAGTCTTTTTGAATGCTAAAAAACCTTGTTATAAATCTGTTTTTAACTGCTTAGTGTCGTTTTATATTACAAATATAAATATAATGAATAATAAAGCTTTTAAGACAAACAGGTGTGGAAAAATAGGTGTATAATAGCACCCACAAATGTGTTTTAAAACAATTTTAATTTTAAAACAAATGTTTAACGTTGATTCATGTAATCGTTAAAAAACAGGTAATGCCCTTTATTCAAATTTATAAATTGTCGCAGTTGTAACCATTTATTCGTTAATGGTTATAGGGATATCAAATGTTAATACATGAGGAAGTGCTAATGTTTGCACTTATTCAGATGAAGATGTTGGAGATGCAAATAGCAATGTTTTAGATAAAAATATCAATGTCATTGAAAATGAATTAATGTCGAACGTAAAAGAATACAAAATAAAAGACTAAACATGCACAAAGAGGTTATTTTTTGAAATTAAATTAACTTTGCTTTTCTCTTTAAAAAGAAAAATTCGTTTCAAAATTATAAACAAATCTTTCGTATTTGAATTTTGTTGTTTCTTATTATTTAGTGTTCTTATTTAGTCAAAAAAACTTGGAAAGGTTGGTCGGAAGAAGAAAACGCATCACTTCGTAAAGCGTTTTCGATATATATCACGAGAAAGATTCCGTGTCCGCTTCTTGATGTTAAAAAAATTATCGAAAGTATACCTTGTCTTCGAAGGAGAGGGCATAAGATTGTTAAAAATAAATTAAACAATATTATTAGAAAGAGATGATTTATGCGTGTTTATTTATTTATATTCAAATAATGGTGTTTTGAAGTAGTTATGTTGAAATCAAATTTATTAACTTTGATTAAATATTATATAATTATTTCAAGTGTATTATCATTTTAAGTGTGTATAAAAAGATCAGTGTTATATTTGTATAATGAATATATATCAAAAGCAAAAAATATTTATTTACTTTGTTTTTATGCATATTTTTTATTTCTCTAATAATTCACCGAAAAAAGATGTTTTGCGAGTAAATCCAACTTTAATCTTAAAATTTATTCTTAAAAAAAGACTTTAAAAGATTCAATAACTTTGTTATAATGATTTTAATTTATCAACCTCTCAAAAAAAAACTAAAATCATAAAACAATTACAAAACGATACGAGAAAAAAGTCATTGGCATTACAATTTTCATAATTTTTTAAATGTGATTTTCAAAACAATAGAAAAAGTCGCGTTTAAAGAACGCGAGAAAATGCGCGTGTATGTAAATCGTGTAAGCTAATAACTTTATAGTGGAGCAGAAGTAGACTACTATCTCAGAATATAACGCGGTATCTTAAGCATCTAAATGTATTTGGCATTATATTTGCAAAATAAAACAACATTTTTTTAGAGTCCCGATAATGGTGAGTTTTCTAGTTTTTTAGTGTAAGCTGAATGTTCGTGTAAAGCCCCATTATTGAGACTTAAAAAATAACAGTGCCACTCATCGAAATACATCGAATTAACATAGTTTTTGCTGTTATTTTTATCGGGACTTAAAAATGTCCCGACGAAAAAAAAAGTCCTCGTAAAGGGTCAGTATAAAACCGCAATGTCTCACTAAAGGTACGAATGTACTTACAAACAGACACACATACATACATACATATATACATACATACATACATACATACATTCATACATACCAGTGTCTAGAGCTCGGGGAGGGGGAGCATGAAAATGAAAAGACCCTTCTATCAGGGTAGGATTAGTCCACCGGGACACCGGGAAAATTAACTGTAGGTCTGTTAACTTTTGTGGCTGTGGTTGCCGAATTTTTTTAATTTAATCTCCTTGAAATTTAAGCAAGTTTATCAAAGCCTAAAAACTTGTGAAAAGTTGTTCATTAGTACAAGATCCCTTTTTAGAAGAAACCTTGGGCTGTTTCATTTTGGTTTGAGATCGTCTGTCAATACCCCCCCTCCTTCCTCGACGTTAATTGGATTATAGAAAAGACTGTCATCCATCCTTTTTATTAGAATTAATAAAAGACATTTAAAAAAACAAGAAGTGTAAATAAGATGTTACAATTTGATGAGGCCGGTCACTAATGGTTTTCTCAGTCCATTTATTAGAGCTAGTCAAACCCTGCCTTCTATGCAGTATGAAATAAAATTTTTTGAGATAATGATAAACTAAAAATATGACATAGGTGTTTTTGTTTAATAATAATATATTTGTTTTGTAATATTAAAACCTCGTATTAACGTTTGCTAATTGTTTTAAATTCGCTATACCCAACGAAAATAATGCTATTGTATTGTTAAGTTAATCTAAGCTTAATTTTAATTAAACTTTTGTTTACAAAACATTAAATTACTAGCTGTCATGACCCGTACGATTCATGGTAAATCTGATCCACATCCGACTACATCTAAACTTGTTTTTAATTTGGTCGTCCTCCATCAATCAATGAACTTTAATAAATAGCAAAAAATCAATCAATTTAAAACTCTTGGCTTTTGGTTAACAATAAATTTACTATACTTTTAAACTATACTTATTTAATTTTAATATAGATGACGGTTACGTAATACTTCTTCCGGTGTTTTAGGAATATTAAGGTTTTAGCAAAAAGATTTATAAATGATTTTTTCTAACCCTCATTAAAATTTATTTAAAATACAAAAGAGGACACAGATAACGGGTCACGGTTCCTAATTATGTCAAATAAGTTAGCTCTATCGGTTTGATTTTATTTTATAGAAACTCTTCAGTAAAAAATACATCTATACGAAGTAATAATTTCAGAAAAAAAATATATATAGCGAAGAAACAAAAAACATTTTTATTGATGTAAAAAAAAAATGTTGATACACTTTAAAAAAAATTAAATTAAAAAGTTATTATTCTTTACAAAGCGCTGTCAAAACCGACATGATGATAACTAGATTGCACCAACTATATCTATACTTAATTTGCTCTTTATTTTAATAAATCTTAGTTTACGGCAAAACAAATTAATATAAAATTCTTGACTTTTGGTTAACGATTTACTTTAATATCGTTTACATAACTAAAGTATCTTTAACAGTGATTACATTAGCGTAACATATTTCTAGTGTTTTTGGAGGTTTGTTTTCGCGATTAATTTAAGGCTGTTTTTTTAGATTAATATTTTTAAGATTACTCATTAAGATTTCAATTATAAAGCAAAGGAAGGTACAGAAACGGGTCACGGATGCTAGTTATGTCATATAAGTTATTTTTTTTTGTTTAGCATTTTTTATAAAAACTTTTTTGCAGCTCATAACAAATTCTTTGAATTAAGCTGTTTTTAATAGCGAATTTTTATTTTTTTGTAATTTTAGCGAATGATTTGCGAATTGTTAAATTATACTTTGTTAAACTATTATAGCTATTATTTGTACCAAATCTCGATACAAAAACATTCTTAATGGGAATTAATGGGAATGGAAATACCTAGATCCGTAATCCCTTAAGTGATTAAAGTATTAATATATCCCATTCACATATAAAATAGCAGGAAAAAATAAAATCAAAGCGAAAATGGCAATACAACCATACTAAAATTATTTTAAAAAGAAAAAATATAAAAATTTATGGGAGAAACAGAAAACAATTTTCTTGAGATAAAATAACAAATATTTTTTATAAAAAAAAATTACATAAAAACATATTTAACATAAAAAAATTTCAAAAGTACTTATACAAGCAACTTAGATAATAAAATTTTTTCATTATTCTATAGATTTTAGTCAATGCTATGAAGATTAACGTTACTTTTTATTGCATTTAAAAAACAATCAACATTCAGAACATTTCTTAAATAATTTAAGAAATGTTCTGAATAATCCTTCTCTCATGGCTGATTTTTGAAAACTTTCCTACAATGAATAGTTATTATTCTCTTTTTAAGAAAATTTTCAAAAATCAGCCATAAGAGAAGGAACTCGACATGAAAATGAAGCAAAACTATTTTAAAAACTTATAACACATTTGAAAACTCAAAAATGCGAATGAGTGGATAAGAAACTTATTAGTATAAGTGAGCACAACAACTTATTTATGAGTACCACGCTATGCTGTACGGTGTAAAGCTGCCTGTTATTCACCTTCAACAAAATATATCATCCGATTATCTGGTAGATGAACCAGAAGTTGAATGATGTTATGTGACATAATTTAAGAAATACTCAAATACTCACTTCAATGCTTTTGGAGCTGAGACACAGCGACAATTTAAAAACGTTTTTATTTCATCATGGTTAACTTGCTTATTTATCAACTCATTGGCACAGTCATGCCCTTTGTAAATGTACTAATTTAAATACTTAACTGACTTTATAGTCGCGCAGGCTTCAACATTTATGTGCGCTTGATATTTTTAGCCATGAGTTACAAGGTACAAACCAACGGTTATCTACTTGGTTACCTTTTATATTGACAATTCTTTTGTTATGGACACGTCTATAGCATGGATAACCATTCAAAATTGCAACAGTGTGGGAATTAAATTTTTTAGTAAATTTTTTTGTGCATTTCCCATTTTTTATGCACGGAGAAATGGGATTTAAAGTTCCTCATGGTCTATGTATCATGCATGATTTTATAATTTTATGAAGTTCAGGATCAATAGCTGGGTCTAGAATTTCAGTTGATATCAAACTATCAATATCTTCTGCTGTTTTTAGCTTATCAGCATTTACTAAGTGCAATATGTACATGTGGCAAACCATGTTTTTGAAAGTAAATAACCTGCATATGACTTATAACTTTTCTTAAGATTCTATGCTTAAAAATATTCTCTAAGAAAGATTTAAGTTTTGTTTTAAATACCCGACAAACTAAATCAGGTATGTCATTAGCATTTTGGCCCGGGTTTAAATTTTCTACTATTTTTCTCCATTTTGCAGGTAAAAGTACTGAATAGATCGGTTTACTATATTTATTATTGAATGCTATTGCATCCTCAAAGCTTTCTTTTAGTGCTCTTGGACTACCAACATATGAAGATACCCCGCCTAAGCATATCTCCTTCATTTCGGCGACGGTTCAATTCATCTCGTTTAGCCTGGTTTCTTTCATTTTCAAGTCTAATAATTTCACTCCTTATATTATTAGACATAATTAAGCATAATTAATTGAAGGAATGTGTAAAAATGATGCTTGATAAAATAAAAATTGAACTTTTAGTTTTCTTTATTAAACTAGTCTAAAATAAAGTGTAAGCAAACAGAGCATAATATAATAATCGAATTAAATTCTGCCTTTACCATTAGTCATTTAAACTAGATATTTTTTAATAATATAGCAATGTGTAAAGACAACATATTTCTATCAAGAACTTAAACTAAAGTTATAAATAAAGTGATAAAATCTTTTTAACTGAGTAAGGTTATATATTTAAGGTAATTGTTATTAATTATTGACAAAATATTATTAGTATTTAACCAAAAAAACAATAAAAAGTAATTTAAAAAGTTATAAAACTTTTACATATAAAAACTCATAAACAAAGCAAATTGAAAAAATTATAAGACCTGTCTACTCAACAAGTACTTCTAGCATTGAACGGTAAAATGTAATCCTCCAACATAAAATCCCTTTCATTACTTTGAAATGCATTTAATACAAGATTTGCAAAAATATGTATATAAAAAACTAATAATAGAAAACCTTTATAAATAATCAGATATTTGCTTCAAATGAAGAAAGTTGGAAATATCGAAACTTCTTATCTTTTGAACTATTTTAATTTTTTTTTATATATTCAATATTCCAAAAAAATATGGTCAATTGTAAAATGCAGAAAAATTAAAATGTGTGTATGTATGTTCAGTATGTATGTATATATATATATATATATATATATATATATATATATATATATATATATATATATATATATATATATATATATATATATATATATATATATATGTATATATATATATATATATATATACATAT